GAGAGAGAGAGAGAGAGAGAGAGAGAGAGAGAGAGAGAGAGAGAGAGAGAGAGAGAGGGGCACCACGTGCGTGTCTGCGTGAGTTTAATCCGCCAACCCTTCTCGCCTCTTCGCCTCCTCATCGTTCCCCATTGCGACTCTGGTCTCACTTCGTGATAGTTCGATTCTCCCTCCCTTTTCGCGTCGTGGAAACGCCGCGCCGTGTCCCTGTGTTGCACGTGAGGAAGTGGCGAGAGTAGGTGGGCAACGCAGGGAAAGGGGAGGGGGATCGTGCGTGCGTGCTCGCGTGTGCGTGCGATAAAACTGACGTCACGAAGTCACGTGATCGTACAATCGCGGTGGGGGGAGCTCATTCATAATCCGAGCAAGGACAGGCTTAAGGCCGTTTCGGACGGTGTGTTACCTCGAGCCGAAGATGACAGGAAGTTTTTGCTCGCTCTCTTTCTCTCTTTTTTTTCTCTCATTCTCTTTTTTTTGCACGACCATCGCAAAAAAATATTTTTAAACGGACGAACGTTGGGCGAGGCGGTGATCGCCAGCCTCGATGGCTCGGAATGGAGAAATGTATGCTCGCAGATTTCGACGAAGACTCGTCTCCGCTACTACGGTCATTGTAGCATATCTGGAGCGTGTTGTGAATGATATCTCGACTCCGAGATAACGGGACATTTTTGCCATTCTCTTACTGGGATACTCTTATGTAAATATACAAGTCTGCGTCTCCGCGATTATACGGAGACAGGATAGGCGCGATTATCGCGGACCAGTGCGTCGGACGATCGTAACTTCCTCGTAAATAATATAGTAAATAATACATGGTTCATATCTACATATCAGACAACGTATCTAGTTTCTATGAAATAATTCTTCCACATATCAAATACAATATCTAGCTTCTATGAAACAATTCCCCCACGATCAAAATCAGATTTCATAATGTTGACTATTATTTATCAGAGGATTTACGTATAATCATCACGCGATAATGCGCTTTCATATCGGTATTGATCGCATGCCTTAAATATATATTGAGTAGAAGCAGTGACGATCTAGAGAAATAATTAAAAATGATTCAAATTGGATGTAATTTAATTGATATTATAAATTTAATAAAGTGTAGAACAAAGAATAACAGAACTTCAATTTAACAGAAACTGTGTACTGTAATAATATATGATTTCTGATAGACTAAGGCCCGATTGCATCAACATTAGTTCGACTTTAAGCGAAACTTAACATTCTTTCTTTTTTTAAAGCCGATAGAAAAAAAAGAAAAGGAGAGAGTTTTAAGCCTCGCTTAAAATTAAAATAACGTTGGTACAATCGGATCTAAAAACTATTATTTTCTGTTTCTACTCCCCTGTTCTTTTATTGTGTCTAAAGTTTTACTTCTTTTAAATATTAATTAAGACACATGAATTGGGACATTTCGGAAAGTAAAATTTCAAAATAGCGCATGGAATTCGTCGTTGCGCGACGTACACCCTGTAGAAGACTATGAGGCGTGCCCACGGTTGGACAGCGCGGCTGATAGCACGATGGATCACGGGTACAAGCACCGTGTGCGACCAATGAGCCGTATCCTGCTAAACTGTTAAGAAGGAAGTGGTTCGTTGCTGCTGCTGTTGCCGCTGTTCTCTCTCCATCTATCCATCTATCTAGCTACCGATCTATCTGTTCGTCTCTCTGCTCCTAATCCCATCTACGCACGCTCACCGATATACATATGTCTATTTTATTTATTTATACATCCGCAAGTCTCAATCTTTTTCGAGGCTTGATATCGTTTCCGTACGTTTACATTACGAGCAGCCGCTATTCTTGTAATGAGTATATAAATCGGAATCGTGACAAACGTATGTATGCATATATATATTATATATTCATATATCATGACTATACATACATATACGTATGTATATGTGTATATTATATATATATATATATATATGTAACACACAC